ATTATCTAGTAAATAAATAATAAAGCTAAAGGATATCTAGATCCTGTACAGCTGGCTAAAATATTTGAGTATATATTTATAATAATTAAAAGTTATTTTTTTTTTTTTTATTATATTTTGGTAACAGTTAACCTTTGTGACGACCAACTATAAGGAAAACCTGTCTGAAGTTGAGCGAATTAGGATCAACTGTAATACCCTACGTATAACTTTTTAATAATTTTTTTTTTGTATATATTTTTTGTTTTAGAACAGTAATATTAAATAATAATAATAATAATAATAATAATAATAACACATTAAGAATAATGACCATAATAAAAGTAATAATTATAATAATAATAGTAACAATAATAATAATAATAATAATAATAACAATAATAATAATAATAATAATAATATTTCATTAATAATAATAATTTTCAATCATTGCAAGTATAGTTTGGCGTGGAAATTGTAAAACCCATTTTTTTATTAATTTTTTGTATAGATTTTTTGAATGAATTTGTTTTATCTCAATTGGCAATTTATTATATAGTTTAGGACCTATGTACCAAAAACTTCGTTGAGTGTTGGATTTCAATACTTTGGGTAAGACATATGTATAACTTTTTGAACGGGTATTATAATTGTATTCATTTTTTTTCAATTCGCCTTTATTGAAATGCTGCCTTATTAATAGATTCTGACAAAACAGTTGTCTAACATCAAATAATTTGCTTTCTTCGAATAGTTGCTGTGTTGGGTAAGTATATGGTTTTTTCAATATAATTTTTATGAGATATTTTTGCGTATTATTGAGATTGTTTATATGGCATTCTAATGCCCCTCCCCAAGCTATGATCCCGTATTTAATATGTGATTCAGCAAGCCCATAATAGATCATTTTTAATTGTTCAAAATTCAATAGTTTTGATAAAAATTTAAACCTAAATAATAAGATTCTGAGTTTCTTTATTAAAAAATTAATATGTATATCCCATTTTAGGTGTTTGTCTATATATACCCCCAGATATTTAATATTAGATGCAAAACTAATGTCGACTAAATTTTTATTGACTCTAATTGAGATTTTATTGTAGGTAGGTGAGGTATTTTCATATGAGCAAAAAGGTATAAATAAAGTCTTGTTAAAATTGACAGTAAGCAAGTAGTGGTGAAACCAATCAAAGATACGAGGGAGGTCGTTCTCAACTAATATTTTTAATGTATCCCAGTCTGAGCTCTCATAAATAATTGCGGTGTCGTCAGCAAAACTAATTATTTTCCCATTTGAATTGACAGCAAATAAATTATTTAGATATATGTTAAACAATATTGGTCCTAGTACAGTTCCTTGTGGGACACCACATATAATATTTTTGTTTTCGCTGACCACATCATCAATTACGACAGATTGTTTTCTTTCTGTTAAATATGAACGAAGTAATTCATAGCTTTGACCTCTGAAACCAATCTCGTGTAGTGTATCGATCATTTTTGTATGACTAACCGTATCGAATGCTTTTGTAAGGTCGATGAAGATGCATAGAGATGCCTTTTTTTTATCAATATTTTCATATATATTTTTTATCAATTGAGCTATTGCATCTTCTGTCGATCTTCCCTCCCTAAATCCATATTGTTTGTCGGAAATTATATCGTATTTGTTCAAAAACTGTGAGATACGTATCTTTAAAATTTTCTCATAAACCTTTGCGAAATTAGTTATTAATGAAATTGGTCTATAATTTGTCATTAAGTCTTTTTTTCCTTTTTTGAATAATGGTTTTATGATTGTCGTTTTGAATGGCGTTGGAAAGATTCCTAATTGAAAAGATGTATTAATAATATATTTTAATGGTACAGCAACTTGACGTGAAATTTTTTTTAATGTTTCGGATTTTATACCATCAATTCCTGGAGCTTTATTTAGTTTAAGAGAATTAATAATATTAATGATCTCCTTTTCATTTGTATCTAATAAATACAACGAATTTGGAACGAGTTTTTTGTTAAATTTTTTGTCAACGGGTTTTATTTGCTTAGCAAGATTATTCCCAATATTGGAAAAAAAGTCACAAAATTCATTTGCAACAATTTTTTTATCATAAATTTTTAAACCATTTTTGTCAGTTATTTCACAGATATTGTTAGACTTCTTGTTTTGATTCATAATATTATTAATTGATTTCCATAGATCGGCAGAGTTTTTGCTACTTTTTCCAATTTCTGATTTATAATAATTGGATTTAGCGATTCTGATTAAATTTCTTAAATTGTTTCTATAAATTTTATAATTTTTAATATTATCGATTGAATTATTATTTTTCATTTTTTTGTAAAGTTTATCTTTTATATTAGAAGAAACCACTAATGATTTTGTTATCCAAGGGGATCTTTTTGCCTCTTTATTTTTAATTTTTTTGATGTATTCACTTTCTTTTATTTTAGTTTTAACAATATTAATAAAGTTATTGGTAGCCAGACAAACATTATTTTCAAATAGGACAGTTTCCCATTTTTCATTTTCTAGTTTATTCGTTAGAGCATCATAATTTATGTAAGTTTTAAAATTACTATTTTTTAATACATTTTCTCCTTTTTTGGGGGTAACAATTTGGACTATGGTGGTGAAGTGATCAGTAACAGAAGTTTCCAGTACAATAGGAACATACACGTTATTATCATTCGTTTTGTCTAATAAAAAAATATGATCGATACAAGTTTTGGAATTATCTTGCACCCTAGTAAATTGATTTATAAGTGATTTGTAACCCTCTCCATTTAGAATGTTCAAATATTCGATGGCTTCATTTTGTTCACTAAATAAATCAATGTTTATATCACCAGATAGGATGTGGAAATCAAAATCTTTATTCAAATTATTTATATATGACATTAGACTTTCATTAAAGTCAATGATCTTAGTGCATGGGGGTCTATATAGACATGTAATTAAATATGTTTTATTATTAGCGGTTAGATTAATTTCAATAGCTTTAATTATTCCAATATCTACAATTTTGAAAGAGTATTTAAAAGATTCTTTAATAAGTACAACGGTCCCATCATTTTTATTTATAGCGCTTTCATTATACAATAAGTCGTACCCATTTATTTTTAATATTTGTAAATCAGTCAATTGAAATGTTTCACACAAACAGATAACATCAAAATCTATACCAATATTTTCTAAGACAACATTAAATTCATCAATATTTTTAGTAAAGCTCCTTATATTAGTATTAATAATTTTTATATTAGTTAAATTAGTGTCTTTAATATGTGCTTTACAATCTCCTGCTTTTTCGATTATTATTGTATCAATTGTTTCAGTTTTAAAATTTCGAATGTAATCTTCCATAATTACTTATAAATAAAATTAATCTCAAAACTAAAGTTAATTTATTATTTTTTTTTTTTTTTCTATACAAAATTTTCTATATATTGACACGCACAATTTCTTTAATAATAATAGACTATAAACTTTTAAATGATTAAACACATATACAACAACAACAACAACAACAAAGTAAGTATTTTTTTGAGTATCTATTTAACAGGGAATATTAATGACGGGTTAGTAATTTTGAGTGTTTTATTTTCTTTTATAACTGGCTGAACTCGCTGATTGTAGTTGTTTTTTTGGGGTAACCCCTGAAGCTGATCCAAGTCTTGTTTGATATCGTTTTCCCTTATCTCCCTTTGAATGAGTTGGTGGTACTTCGGTTTTCTGTGCTGCTTCATCTACTTTGACAATAGATTTAGAAGAACTTTCTTCTGTGTTGACTTCAACCAATTGATGCTGATGAGGTGGTGGGGTTGGTGGCGCGCTAGTGGTTTGTCTGGGTTGTAACTCGAAAATCTCTTGTTCTTCCCCCTCTCTAAGCAGTTCTTCTGCAGTATACGTCTTGTCTTCTATTACTAATTTGTTTCCTTTAATTATAGCACGTTTTTTTTGGCTTCTAGCTTCTTTCATATACTTTACAAGTGTTTTTTTCTCCTCTAAATCTTTTGGTATAAGGTCGTCTGTAATGTAAATTCCTGTATTTTTTAGACCTTTTGCGTTTTTTAGAATTTCTGTTCGTTTTATGTTCGAGTGAAGTCTTAATAGTATTGGTCTTGTACTCTCGCAGATTTTTCCTAACCGATAAATATCAGTTATATCAAAATTTTCGATTTTAATTTTTAAGTATTCTGTAGCAATTTTATTAACAGCAGTTAGTAGATCTTTCTGTGTCTCTTGAGGTTTTTCACATACACCATAAATAATTAAATTTTGAGCTCTTAGTTTTCTTTCGGCAGTATCCAAGCGCGTTGTTAAAATACCGTTTTCAGCTTCTAGTTCCTTTATTTTCAAATTCCCTAAATTTATTATTAACGGAGACAGAAAACGTTTTTATTTCAAAATTTATACCGTCAATTTTTGTAGAGAGGTTTTGATTCGTTTTGTTTACCAATTCAAATAAATCATCTAGTGTTCTAGTTCCATCCATAATAAAAGAAGATATATTGACTCTACCACTGGTTTGTTTTTAATTATATCTAATGTGATGGAATATGTAATTATTGTTTTAATGTATTTGAAAATATTTATTTTTATAAATTGTCTAGCCCCTAGGTAAATTAAATGAAAATATCAGTTGTTATTGGTCATTTAATATGGATATATTAAAATAAAAAAGTACAATAAAGACTAGATGTCAAACTGCAATACCGTAAACAATTCAAATACACTGGATTATATGAATACTTATTTTTTTAAATTTAACATACCTAAACTTTTAAAATAATACTCATTTTAGAAGTTTACCACATTCATATTATTAAATATTAACCAAAATGTCGACGACCTCGTAAAATATGACTAGTTTTAAGTTTATTTTTGTTCAAATATTTCTTGCCAAAACCAATATCATATTTAAAATTACATATCATAGTTATTTTTTGGTATAAAATTTAAAGGATAAAAATGTTCGTTTTGACCTCAAACCTGACCTAGCATGAATCCCACTTAC